TGCAGCAATGGCGCCCCCTGACACTACTGTACATACTCAAGCAGACTGTCACTTTGGTGCATTTCACAATAAAACCTTGAATCTTAAAGTGAAAATAAAATGAGAAATATTATTGTGCATTAGTTTGTCCTCTCTTAGAGTCTCATCAGATCGGCAGCAGGTTTAATTAGTGACATAATGAATCACCAGTCCTGAGGCCAGCTGAGGCTTTGATGCTCAGAGAATACAGCTGACGCTTGGCTTTGTGCTGTACAGCCAGATGTGGGAGTCACATGATTTGGCCATTTTTAAAGAGGTAACAAAAAAACAATAAAATGATCCTCTGGAAACTCTGCATGGATGACAATTGGAAACAATCAAAGTGTATCCCTTTTGTCATTCTGCACATTAGCAATGAGTGGCTTCAGGGTGACGTGTTAAACAACATTAATTAAAGAGTAGATATGTACATTAGTGACTGTCATATCTTTGTCCCCAGTGGCTCTCATCTATTTACATTTTAATTCTCACCTTCAACATGAACACCCTGTCTGCAGCGTCTCGCCTACAGCTGACTTCGTCTCTGTTTATTATCTTTGTGAAATAATTGCTTTTAGAAACCTGGAGGCAGTTTATATTGTCCAATTAGAAAATCACACTGTGTCTTTATTTCCTTATTCCAGAGTTGTTTTACACTAAACATGTTAGATTTGACAACATTTAGGCAAATAGAATATTGACTGAAAGGCGTCTGTATTTCTAGCTAAGGGATTGTTGAAGGCATACAAACAGCATTTACACTTTTGTGTTTATTCAGAAATTGTAAACAGTTAAAGTGACCCCTCTTCTTGCTAAATTCAGGTTCATAGTAGTATGTTGTGCCTCTACTGTGACAACTCATACAAGCTCTGTTGTGATAGGTCAACAGCTAAAAGATGTCCCGCCCCTTAGCCTCTCCCTTACAAAGTGTTGTAGCGCTATAGCCAATAGAAGTGTTACAGTAGTACATAGTGATGTCACCATGTTGAGGAAGTACACAAAGGAGTTCATTGGAGGAGTTGCCCTAAAACCAATACAACACACAGGAACGGGAAAACCCCAAAACCCGGCCTCTTTAAAGGGATGTTTGTTTTACCTAGTCCTTTCTCTAAACAGTATAAAGTCATTAGTATTTGAAATGGTTCTGGAAACCTGCAGTTGTAGTCGAGAGCTTTGAGAGGCTGAGTGTTTCCTTTCAGCTCATTTACACAGAAACACATTTACCTAGATCTGCAGCAATGGCGCCCCCTGACACTACTGTACATACTCAAGCAGTGTGTGTGTGTGTGTGTGTGTGTGTGTGTGTGTGTGTGTGTGTGTGTGTGTGTGTGTGTGTGTGTGTGTGTGTGTGTGTGTGTATTTCCCAGGTTGCTAAATGTTTTGTGCGTGTGTGTTTATGTTGACAAGGAGGTTTAATAACTGTGTGCT